ACACCGACACACTGCTTGTCGAGCCATGCTGTGGCGGCGTCCCATATAAAGTAGAGGAAGATGGGCATGGATGTTAGCTCAGGGCCAGTCTTCCTCAGAAAAAAAAGAGGAGGATTGGCATCAGATGTTAGCTCAGGGCTGATCTTCCTCACAAAAAAAAAAAAAAAGAAAAAAGGTGATAAATTAGATTTCATCAGAAGTAAAATCTACGTTTTGTAAGATACCATTAAGAAATTGAGAAAGCAAGCCCTAGGCAAGGAGAAAATATTTGCAATATGTATATCTGACAAAGGATTTTATCCAGAATATTTAAGAACTCTTACAACTCAATACTAAGAACACAACCAATTTTAAAATGGGGGGAAAAATTGACATGTCACAAAAGAAGATAAGAGAATGACTAATAAGTGTATAAGAATATGCTGAAATCCATAGTCATACTTCATACCACTGCTCACCTTCTCAAATGGTCAAAATTAAAAAGACTGACAATAGCAAGTGTTGAAGGGATGTGAAACAACTAGAAATTTCATACACTGCTGGTGAGAATGTAAAATGGTACAACTTTTCAAAACAATCTGGTGGTTTCTTATAAAATTAAACATATACTAATCATATGACCCACCAATTCCTCTCCTACATATTTCCTGATATAAATGAAAGTATATGTTTACAAAAAGATTTGTACACAAATGCTCATAGCAGCTTTAATCATAACAGTCAATCTGGAAACAACCCAAATGTGCATAAACACATGAATGGATATACAAGTTCAGATATATTTATAAAATGGTGCATTACTCAGCAATAAAAAGCAATACTAATATAGAAAACAGCATAGATGAACCTCAAAAACATCATGCCGAGAGAGAGAAGCCAGGCAAAAATGTACACCTACTATGTGATTCCATTTATATGGAACTCTAGAAAAGCAGGTCTAATCTATAGTGACAGAGGTAAGTCAGTGGATGCCTGACCTGAGGGTGGGAATATGGAGATTGACTGAACAAGGTCAAAGGGAAATTTGAGGTGGGGATAAAAATGTCATATATCTTGATTATGGTGGTGGTTACACAACATATATATTTGTTCAGACTCATCAAACTGTTCACTTAAAATGAATGCCTTTTATTGTACCTAAATTTTAACACAATAAAGTTGATTTTTTAAAAAATATGCACACAAATATAATTCACAAGCCATAAAATTAGCTTTAAGTGTACAAGTTAGTCATTTTTTTGTATATTCATGGACTTGTGCAACCATCACCATTATCTAATTCAAGAAAATTTTTATCACCCCCTAAAGAAACCCTATACCTTTCAGTAATCACTCCCAATTCCTTCTAACCCTGCCAGCCCTGAGTATTCTCTGTATCTGTGATTTGCCTATTCTGGACATTTCCTTTTTTTTTTTTTAATTTTTTGTTTATTGCAGTAACATTGGTTTATAACATTGTATAAATTTCAGGTGTACATCATTATACTTCTATTTCTGCATGGATTACATCATGTTCTCATGTTCACCACCCAAATACTAATTACAATCCATCACCACACACATGTGCCTAATTATCCCTTTTGCCCTCCTCCCTCCCCCTTTCCCCTCTGGTAACCACCAATCCAATCTCTGTTTCTATGTGTTTGTTTGTTGTTGTTGTTGTTAACTACTACTTAATGAGTGAGGACATTTCTTATAAACGAAATATGGTCATCTGTGATTGGCATCTTCATTTAGCACAATGTTTTCAAGAGCCATCGTGTTGTAGCATGTATCAGCACTTCATTCCTTTTTATTGCCAAATAATATTCTATTGTATGGATATACCAGATTTTCTTTACCCATTGATCCATTTATAGGCATTTAGATTGTTTCCACTTTTTGGCTATTGTGAATAATGCTGCAATGAACAACTGTGTACAAATTTTTGTGTGAATGTTTCCAACTTTCTTGAATATATATATAGCAGTGGAATTGCTGAGTCATATGGTAACTCTGTGTTTAATTTTTTCAAGAACTGACAAACTGATTTCCACAGCATCTGCACCACTTTACATTCTCATCAGCAGTGTATGAAGGTTCCAATTTCACCACATCTTTGACATTTTTTATGCCGGCCTTTTTTATTTTAGTCATCCTAGTGTGGGCAAAATGGTCCCTCATTTTCATTTTGATTTGCATTTCCCTAATACCTAATAATGTTAAACATTTTTTCATGTACCAATTGGTCATTTGCATGTCTTCTTTGAAGAAATGTCTATTCAAGTAAGTTGGTTGGCCATTTAAAAATTGGGATGTCTTTTTATTGAGTGGTAACGGCTCTTCATGTATCATGGATACAAATTCTCATCGGATTTATAATTTGAAAATATTTTCTTTCTTTTTTTTTTTTT